GCCGCGGGGCAACCGCGCTCCCGTCTCCGCCTCCCCCCACCCCCCACCCGGCCTAGGCCACAAAATGGAGCCGAAACGGTGAAGGTGTGTGGGGGGAGCACCTCCCGCTCCCGGCCCCGCGGAGAGAGGGGGACACCGGCGTGGAGAGCCGCCCCGCCGCCCCTTGCCAAGACCTCCCCCGCCGCCGCCGCCGCCTCCCCCGCCCGCTCCGCTCCGCTCCCCCGGCCGCGCGGCCCCCGCGCCTCCGGTCGCACAAAGAGGCGATGGGGCCGGTGTCGGGGCCCGGGGGCGGCTGCCGCCCCCCACTTCCTGGTCCCCGCGGCGGCGGCGCGGCGGCAGCGCCGGGGCCCGGGGAGGGAGACGGACATTTCATTCGAGCCTGCAGTGGAACCGGTTACCAATCATTGGCCGGAGCCAGGCACAAACCTCCAGTGCGGCCCTGGTTGGCTCCCTCCGCAAATCGGCTGTTTGGTTGGACAGAAAATGGCTGCGAAGGAACCAGTCCCAGCGCGGAGCCCCGCTTCCCGCAGCCGGGCCGCCCTCCCTCCGCGCCGCCTACCCCGCCAGCGCTCGACGGCTCTTCCCCTCAGCGCGCTCCCTCCCGCCGCCGCCGCCGCCCCGGCCCGGCCTGCACCTGCCCTACCCGCCTCCTTTATGGGGCCCGGGGGGGGGCCGCCTCCCCGGGGCCGAGGGGGTCCCCGCGGCTGGGCTGAGGTAAAACCGCCCGCCGGGGTGCTCCTCTGCCTGTCCCCGGCTCCTGTGCCTGTCCCTGGGGTGCTGCAGGGCGGTTGGTGTCGCTGACCGGCTCTCCTTTCCCGGGGCTGTGGTGAAGGGAACTCCTGGAGGTGGGGAACAGGGGAGAGAGCCGTGTCCCTGTGCCCGTGTCGCCGTCCTGCCCTCTCATCACCTCAGCAGCTGGGGTCTGCTGTCAGCCGGGCAGGCACCGTTTTTATAGAGGTTCCTCAGCTGCCCTACACCTGCCTCCAGGTTCATCGGTTAAGAGGAAAAAAAAAAGAACTTTACATCCCCCAGTGACTTCCTAGGTCTTGCATAGATTGGGAAAGAAGAGGCTGATGAAGAAGAGAAGGTTGATGAAGGAGGAGGATGGCCCACAGGACCTAGGCCCAACCAACCATTTGGTGGGACAAAACCTTCTTGGGTGACAGGATCTGTGGGTCTGTGCTGCCCCTTCCCACTACAGAAATAAAATGTCACTGCAGACCTGAAAGGATCACCCCCCCTGGTTATATGGGGCCTAAGGAGTGTGTTTTCCTTCCACTTTCAGGCCTTGTTCTGAAGAAATATGAGCTGCTAGGTGAAGATGATAGCTGGACTGACTTCTCCACTGAGATTTACAAACCTCTCTTATGAAGCATTTATATTAAACACTTCATAATCCCCCAATCCTGCCATTCACTAGAATCGGAGAGAGGGATTTTTCTTTTTACGTGAAGGCAGCCAAAGACATTCCACACACCTGCCATCAGCACACGTGTATGTACAATCTCCACAGTGGATGTAACAAGAATAATTTTGTTTTGTGCAGTTCTTAATAACACATAGTCGTTCTTCGTTACCTGAGAGTCTTAAGTATTTTACCTAAATGGGTATGAAACTCGTATTTCACAATGGCCTCTGCTAGCATTCTTCTGGTTAACACCTAATAAATACAGTACATTCCTCTCCTAGCTTTATTCTGGCATTTGGATTTAAGCAAAGCAAACCTTAATAAACCTTGTGCATTTCCAGTTGGTTTCACATAACAACATCAGTCTCGTATGTTTCCATACATCATAAAGATTTCAGATTCACTCAGAATGTTCATGTATTTGGACTGGTTTGAATTTAAACTGATACATCAAATGAGACAAATTTTGCATGGCCTCGGGTTTTTACTGCAAATGCTATATGTGGCTTGATTCCGCCTCCTGGGTACTGTGAGCCGTAATTAGTTAATTTTTTGAAAATGCCTGGAAGATGTAAAGTGATGCAAGAACATTCAGTAAATCTGGGACCTTAGGGAGTGCATTTTCCCCTTTATCTATTTTATAGCTTGTGTTCACTGCATATAATACCATGACAATACACTATTCATCTTGCTGTTCGGTTTTAAGATCTTTGGATGTGTTCTCTCATCTTAGCCCAGAATTTCACAAGTGAATAGAAGGATGAACACTGACCAGTGTGCAGGTTCTTCAGGGCACAGAGCAGATAATGCCTGTTTTTGAGCAGCTAGTTGGAATTTTGAATCTTTCCTTGGAAGCACGGCCCTCAGTTCTTTCTACTGCATATTTTTAAACTCGAAACAAAAATGATAAATGTTTCTTCTGCGGTGTTTTTGCTGGCATTTATCAGTATTGTATTGATGGAAAAATTACTTATCCACTGATTTTACTCAACACTTTTCTTTAGGATAGCATATTGGGAACAAGTGTTCACTGTTACTGGTGACAGAACAGCACTCAGTGGTTAAACTTGTCAGCCAACTGAAGCCAGGAAATCCAAGCCAGAATTCCCCATTACATACATTTTACCTTGTGTTCCACCATTACTAACAATTTTTGCCATGGACTTATCATGCAGTCTTTAATGAGTTATCCATATGCTAAGGACATTCTCAAGCCCCATATGTTCGCAGCACCATGCGTTCTATTCGTACCATATATCCTGAAAAGGTGTATTTCAACATGTCTGATTTGCGTCTCTCCTCTGTAGAATGTATCAGGGGTGTCTTGTGTGAATGTTGATAAATCATCTAGTATAACACCTGCTGTGTTCTTATCTAGCTGCTTATCAGTTAAAGTCTCAAAATCCCCATCACGTCATTTAGATTTTATATTCTCTAGGTTTGCATATAATTTCTCCAGTCTGCAATGTCTTCCTCATATTCTGTACCCAATCTGCCTCTCCTTTTAGATCAGCTCAAATTCTGTCTATACAAAAAGAGGGGAAGAATGTTCAAGAGCAGGTGGAGTTAACTGCAGTAAGATGTAAGAGAGTTTTGTGAGGTTGTGATCTATCTGGTGAGGTTGTCATTTGGTGTCTGAAATTTTCAGTAAGGAAATAAGAATCTTCAGATATCTTCTGTTCTACTTAGTAGGTGTTAGCTACAAAAGCTGTCAAAGGTGAGCAAGTATGCTTCTTTAAACCAGAACAGATGCATCATCCTGCTCCAAAATGTGAGTTACTTGTGGTCTGGACTCTGTCACTTGGAAAAGTATGTGTTTGAAATAAGAAAATGCAATTTTTGTAGAAATAGCACTGGATGGTAGTGAGGGGTTCATCTAACATTCTTCAGAGTTCTGATTACTGTGAAATTCTGAGTGTAACAGACTGGAAATAGGTCTGTTGTCAAACTATGAATTCCTTGGTCCTTCTGAAATTTATTTTCATTCTTAACAGTGATCTTTCTAATGCTCATTATCTTTTTTTTCTTTTTTTTTTTTTTTTTTT